ACAGTAGCAGTTTTAGATTACTTTTTACTATTTCGAATGCAACTCAATATGAGGGGAGAAGTTCTAGTCCAAGACGGAATCCGGCACCATGTCATGTAATTAGGTCACACACATGAAAGTTATTTTACACTGGGGTCTATTTACTGATGCCTTCATACATCTGCTTTTGCAACTCCTTCTCTTAATTATCTAAAGTTAATCGATTATGTGATCAGCATACGCAACTGCGCAGATAACTAGAGAGTGTTATCAGTATAAATCCAAGTGCAGCAGACCCAAATAAAATGAGGTAGGGCAATGGCTCCCATAACTCCGTACTCCAAAGAAAAACGAAACGCTGAAGAGTCTAACGCCCTTACCATTGAGCCACGAGTTCGTTGTCTAGCCGGTTTAGGTCAAGAGATATTGACATTCATTGATGAATGTTCATCTGACCGCGAACGGGACTCGTCTGTTGCGTTTTGTTTTGGGCCTCGCAAGAGGCCCTCATAGTCGTAACAGCAGCCGGTATTACTCCTGCTTAGTCCTCAGTCTAAATGTCACCTGATTTGATCGACCAAATCACAGCTCGAATCGGCGAATTAGGTGGGTTTGTTAAAGGCAGCATTTGATTGGTGGACAGAACCCGATGCTATTGCATATATTAAAGGCTTGTGGGCGTAAATTAAAGTGCGCGTTCTGCTCCAGATGAGACGTCCACCTAACCGGATTCTTGTATTCTTGCTCACTGCTACCGCCCTCACTCTGGGCTGGGACATTTATGCATTCACCTACTGGAATGCTCACCCAGCAGATGATGTTGCCGGCTGCAAATGGACGAATCCAATCAAACGCCTCCCGAGTGGTCCATACGAGATATTCACCTGTGTCACGCGAGATAAAATGCCCGAAATTCCGCGTCACCCTGGGCTTCCACCCGCACTAATCACCACCCTCAACCTCACCGGCCTCCTGCAATTTAAGGATATGATCAAGATTCCCGACGAGAGCTGGAAACTGCCAGTGGACAATCAGGTCTTTAAACTCCACGAACAGCCGCTTGCCATGCATCCTCTCGTGGAGTTTGTGAAGAAATCGGGATACTTTCCAGAGGTAAGAGTACTGGATAATAATTAGGGATATAGCGCTTGAATGATGCTGTAAATTCTTAGCTGTAATTGATACCTGTCAGATAATGAACTGAAGAAACATTATGATTGAAGTTTCTATAGATATATTTGGAAAATAAGCGCCTGTAAAAGTATAGTTCTGTAGAAAAAATCTGTGGTAACAGCTAAGAAACTTTATCGTGTAAATTTTGACACTGGTTGCCCAGGTCGTCGTGAGACGTGTAGCGAGTGTACTGAAATGTCAAAATGACTAGACATTATTGATTTTTTTAGGCAGGTTGAAAATTATGTTCCGTACGCTCACTGCACGTCTGACGACGACCTGGGGAACCAGTGTCGAAGATGTAAACCATAAAGTTTGTTATCTATACATACCTATATTTGATGGAAGTACGGTTTTAGGAAATGATAACAACATAATTGCGTGTATTTCCGACGCTGGTTCCCCAGGTCGTCATCTGACGTGTTGTGAGTGTACAGATCAGTTAGGATTTTAAATCTGCCTAAAAATAAATAATGTCTGGCCTTACTTGCCGATGGTTGTCTCTGTTATTTGGTATCTCGTCCGGATTGGCTGTTGTCTTTTCCACTCATTATTTGAGCTTGCTGCACACGGCATCCAATTCGATGTACCGATTGACGCACGAATCATTGGAGTTAATGGCATCTAAAAATTTGCGGGCTTTTCTACATGGCCAGAAGCCAACAATGCAAGTTTGGGGCGGTGAACATTTGGGTCAAGTTTCTACTGTATTCATGACAAATTGGGACAATTGTCCTCACCCCTATACTGTCCATCGGTGTTACTGTAGACATGTAGACGCCAATTTACCTATTGAACCAGAAGACACTGCATTGCAACTGCCATAGAGAATCTTGTAAACGACTTTTTTCTGCACCAATAGACAATCCTATCCTTATGGGATCCAAGCTGATTTCACAGGCTGGTCTTTGGTTTCTGCGACATCTGTCTTTCGTGTTTCCTAAGGTGTCTTTAAACAAGTTCGGACACGTGTTTACATTTGGATGTTTCTCGTCAGCTTTTTGTTTTGGGCGCTCTAACGCAACAATCTAGTTTGATTTCCTTTTGTTTGACCACTTGACTTCTCACACATCGACATACGAACTTCCTTGGGTAACCATTTTCGGAAAACTGTTTGGACAGTTTATATAATAAAAATGAATTAGTTCTGTATACTTTTAGTCAGTATTGTAGGCAGACCCTATTTCCGGTAAAGACAGGAGAGACTGGAGGGGCCATTTGTGGTTTATTAGCTCTCGTCAGTCAGTCATACTCAGATCCAAGTGGTGCTCCATTCGAGCAAAATTCAGAAATTTGCAATAGACTGCTACTCACTTGCCGGCACTGACATGTCTAAGAAACATTTGAAATAATAATGAATTTTTAACTTAAAATAATATAAAGTTTCTAATAATTGGTTTAGAATCATTTAATTTTGTAAGGAAGACTCAAGCTCCGCAGACTTGCAAACTAGCTATGAATTAGATGAGGAAATATAAATGTACGCGTTAGGTGAAATTATATCAATACAATTTTCTTTGTATCAAAAGGAGTTTTTGCCGAATTTCATTGCACATATTTCAGGTGTTGGATAACAATCAGTTTCAGCTAGTCCTTTAAAGATCGGCAAATGTATCATGATTTTCAGTGTTTTCAAGCTTTCTTCCTTGAATGTAGATTTTGTTCCGCGTGTATATTAAAACCTTTAAGATAAAAGATTTTTTAAAAGCATGTACGAAAAACATGACCTTTGGATATTAGTTCTGATGAAAATAGGCAGATGGGCATACTTCTAAACTAAAAAAACACCCAATTCATTGGCAATCTAAATCAACGCTTATAACATAGTTTTGTTGTTGTTATGCCTAATATTAATTCAATAACTTTCGCTAGCAGGTAATCTCTTTCAAAACACTTAAGCTAGCCATTCAGTTGACGAATATCTGTTTATGTTCCCCTTTTTATAAGGTAACTTGAAAGTGAAAATGGAGCATTTTTACTACATTTTAAATATATCTGTCATTAAATGCTATAAGCCTCGCTGTGAAGGAAAGAACATACTTGTCTTCTTGTATTAGAGTATTTTTCGGCATATTTGATTATTTTTATGTTCGTTCTAGGATGACGAATGCAAAAAAGGGCTGGCCGAATACAGTGTTCGCCATAGACCACGTAATTTTCCTAAATTTGTATAAGTTTGATCACTGCTCCAATACCAGTGTGAATGTATTTAGGAAAACATAGAAATAATAATGAA